CAGCACCAAGACGGCTCCCGGACAACGCCAAGAGCGGATCAAAAAACGACTTCTGGGCCCCCCCATGGGGGGGGGGCGAATTAGGGAAGCATTCCTCTTTGATCGACCTCCGACAAAATGGCCCCCAAAGCGCTCTTGAACTCCTAAGAGCGCCCAAAAAACGGCCCCAAGGAACGCCCATGCAGCTCCAAGAGGCGTCCAGGAAACCTCCAGGAAGCTACCGAGAGACCCCCAAGAGGATTTAAGAGGATCCTCGAAACACCCAAGACGCTCAAAGGCGGCCGTGGGCTCGCCAAGATGCCCCTTCAACTCCTCTTCCTTCTCCTTCTCCTCCTCCTCCTCCTCCTTCTTGTCCACCGTCTTTTCCTCCTTCCTCCTCTTTGCCCTTCTTCTCCTTCCCCTCCTCCTCTCCTTCTCCTCCACCATCCTCTCCCTCTTGGGGTCCCGGATGGCTTTCCCCCCCCTTTGTTCTCCTGTGTGCTCCCCCACTTCCCTGTTTGCCTCAACTCCCCTGGGCATCGCTTCTGGATGGGGTGGCGGCGATGCGGGAAGCGTCGACCATTCGGAACTTTGGCGCGCAATTTCCGCTCTGCCTCGCGCAGCGCCTAATCCCTAATGCTGTTCATTTTTGATTTGGCGCGCTTTGCAACAATAGACCCGCCTGATGACAAGGGGAATTTCTTCCCCTTGCCGCCGGCCTTCGCTGGAAAGGGCCTAGCCTCGTGCTCGGGGGCGAATTGAGCGGAAGAAACAAGACTCAGGTTCTGGTTGCCACGTGGTTCATTGAAAAAATGCCCCGTGCACACTGGCTTCGCTGCATTCGCTTCTGTCGCGATTCGCAGCAGCAGATTCTCATAATGGTCGACGGACCCATGGAACTCATCATCTGCAGGTGGCGCCGCGTTGAACCTGCGCCGCCGCGCTGCTCGAGAGCGCGGAGGCGAGACTGCGCATGGTGAACTTCTTTGCTGGATCCATGGCTTCAGGAATTGCCATTTTTCTCTGACGTAAATTATTCGCTGTCTCGTCTACTAACCTCTTCGTCGAGTGCATTCTGTTGGTTTGGCTCTGGGTGAGCTCCGCTTCTGTTGCCAAAGACTGTGTGCTCAAAAAATTCCAATCAAATTCCGAGAATCTGGCAACGTGGGTCCGGGGGTAGCAGGCGCGAGGGCCGCTCCGTCACCTGGCGCTCCTTGGTAAGCTGGGGGAGCCCCGCTCGACCCGCTCCGGTACCAAGGGCGGGCCTAGTCAGGGATGCGATTATCGACGGCCGCAGCTGGGCCCGCTCGGGCGCCCGACGCGCGACGGTCCAAGCAAAGTCGACGGGCGCAGCGGTGCCCGCTTCGGCGCCTGGCGTCTGTGGCTGTTCGACCGGGGAAGCTGGGCCAGTGCCGCTCGGCTCCGCCGAGGGGCAGCCTGCTCCGACGCCTGGAAACGGCGGTGCTGGGCCAAAACCTGGCGTCTCATCGGCGGGTAGCTGACTGGCTTCGAAATGACTTGCGTTGGAATTTGACTCTGTCTCGAACTAAATTCTGGCGCCACGAAGATACATGCCATAATCGACATCATCTCGGAACGCTGTGCACTCTCCAACGGAGCGGACCGAAGGTGCGATTGCGAACGAACGCGCACCCCATCTCAAGCGGTGCAGCCCGAGCACGGCGTTCGTAGTCGGTGCCGAGCGCAGCGTCAGGATGGGGAGCTACGCGTCGGCGGCGATCGATTTCGGCCCGTTTGAAGTGTGCGAACTGGATGGTGTCCACGGGGCCTGTCGCGTTGCCATCTGCGACGGCCAGGTGCGACCGTGCGAGCTCGTTCGTTGCAGCGGGTCGTCGTGCAAGTGCGTGGTCTCCTCGAGCGATTGCGCGCGCCGCAGATTGCATGAATGCGCTCGGGCCGAGCGAAGCTCTTGTCGAGCAGCGCGGACGGCGCGCGAAGCGGGCGCTTGTGGGCCATCCAACGTTTGATCGGGTCGAGTTCGTAGAGGGGTGCAAGTTCGTAGAGCTCCTTCAGGGCCTGCTTGAAATTCGTTGACTCTGTGATGGCTGCTGAGATGAGCTGTCTGGGATACGTGCCTTCGTAGTCGCTGTTGTCTGGATCGGTGCGTGATCGCTGAGGCTTGAACGACGTAACTGATTAGGGTCAGCCAAAACACGCATCTCCACCTGCATCTGGATGGGCACCCAGCCTGGGAGGAAGGTGTAGGCACAGTCGACGCGGAAGAGGGGTGACTTAGGGGGCCAGAAGTGTGTGCGCGGGAGCCGTCACTTACATCTGTGACTATGCTAAGGCTGTGCTGCTACAGGGCCTGGCGATGGCGATGGCGATCGTCTGCGACGTGATCCTGGTCCGTGAGGCCTGTGCGGCCCGACGGCGAGATTGGTCTCTCCTCAGAGGCGTGAAGGTAGAAATGCTGCAACCTCCGCGGGGTGACGCGCAGCGCGCTGGAGATCTGTCTTGACATATTGCTGAATCAACCGGAGCTGCGGGTCGGTTGTGTCTTAGTTGTGTATGTTCCATGCGATGATGGTCACGTGGTCGCGGCTTGCCTCGGCGCGCAGAGCACGGCCGGGAGGGGCGTGGATAACGTCAGGGGGGTGACAACTATAACGACGAGTACCTGAGAGAACTCTGGCAGAGGCCAGAAACTTCCCAAGTGAGAGCACTACATGCTGGGCATCCTGTACTCGGTGTAGGAGTGCACCAACGTCCTGATCGGAGCCGTGGACAAACTGGACGTGGACGATATCCGTGTCCACCGCGTGCTTCATGAGGTGCTCGATCTTCGCATGTGCCGCGCGGCGATCGGGGAGAAAGGGCGCGCGGGCGTTCCAAGAGACATTCGTGGGCGTCAGATCAGAGCGGTCGGACGTGAGAGGCACGCGGAGGCCGCCGGGAGAGTTGGTGTTGCCCCCGCTGGATGTCCTCCTCGTAGCTCCCAGCCTTTCTCTTCATGCAATTGTCGTATTTCAAGCGCGTGCTGTTCCATTGCGCGAACAAAAGCACGTTAACCTCGACCTTGTTCAGCTCTGGCGCGCCTGTTGAAATATGTCCAGGCGCTCGGGGTAGAGAGACTCATCAGCACGTGCGACCTGGCGGCCCTTGGCTTGGATCCTGTCGTCCTTGGGTCACTGTTCCTTGTCCACGAACAGAGGCAGCGCTTCGCCGCGCGCGGACTGCGCAGTGTATTGCCGGCGTCTCCCTTGATCGTTTCGCGGGAAACTGCGGAACTATAGATCGATCTTGCGAGCTGCAAGCCCTCCAGCATCGTCCATGGTGAGATTGAAGATCCCGCGGAACGCCTGGTCCTCGATCTTGACGCTGGACGGGTCGATGTCGGTGGCCTAGAAGAGCTGGGCCAACGCATGGACGATGGAGTCCTTGGGGACGGTGTTCTTGGCACGAGCGCAGATAAATCTGACAGCCGTCCACGGCACGAGTCTAAGCACGAACATCCAAATTAGGCAGAAGAGCTGACGATGCGTTTTCAGGGGCACGTAGAGCTTGATGGAGTGACTCGATGCTCTTCCACATGTTCCGCTTGGACTTCGCCAGCGTGTCTTGTCTTGCCTTGAGGGCTTGGACGGGGGCCCTGATGTTGGCATGCTCCTTCTGGATGTTCTCGTCGTACTTTGTGAGAAGTGCGGCATTGGACTGCTGCAGAGACTGGTGCATCGTGTTGAGGCGCTCGCCAAGGAGGCGATTGACGCTGGAGTCGACGATCTGCTGGGACTCGGTCTTTTGCGCGCCAAACAACGAAGTAAGACATGACCAGCGCGCCACGTTTTCCTCCTCCTCCCGGGGATCCACAAATTCGTCGTCGTCGCCACCTGTGATCTCGGAGCGGCCACGTTTCGCCTCATGACCAGCAGCCATGGTAGCAAAGGTGTGGGCGGACACACCTAACACAACAGAAGAAGTTCAAGCGGAAGCCACTGGAAGCTGTTATGGAGAAGTATTGGCACTGTGGGCACAAGTTTCGTGAGTGCCAAAGTGGCCACGTGCCGGCCGCGCTTGAGCGAGGCTGAGAAGTTCAGGAGAAGGCCCCTTGAGCCAGATGGCTACGGAGGGGAGTATTCCGATGATGATGACGAGGAGCAGGATTATGAGGAGGATGGAGAGGGGGAGTGGGAGGATATGGAGGAAGAGGAAGATAGGATGAGGTGGGTCTGAGGAAAATGCGGACGAATATGTAAAAGTACAGGCGGCAAGACGGCAAGCCCGAAGCAACGGCAGCAGCGGCTGGGGAAGGAGAAGGGCAAGAGGAACTCTCACATTATGGCCAGGGCCAACTTGTTATAATACCGCGCGTATTTTGCTGCGCACCAGGCCGCAAACCCGATGCGAACGCAGCGACAAGAACGCGCACAACAACATATTCTGCGTATGGGGATCCCTGCTCTCAAAATGTACCAGGTGAATTCCCCGTTCGACGCATGAGATATATATATATATATATATGTATATTTAATGTATATATATACATGTGTACATATATATATATATACACAACTGCGTGCACTATTCTTTGATCAACTTCCGATTACCAATGCGAAACGGAAATGGCGACATGCGCGTCCACACACCGCGTGCTTTTTCACAGCTGTATTTCGCACTTGTCTGCGATGTTGGGGATGCAAGCCAATGCCGTTTTATGCCAATTTCGGATCGGGACAAAACCCTCTGACTGATTCGGCGTGACAGCGTTCGACACGTGCCGGGTCACCGCACAAACTTGTCTTCGATGACATGCCGAGTATTGCACCAACATGTGAATACGATAGTCGGCATCCACTTACACAAGCGCCCTGCGCCCATCGAGACACTTCAGCATATGCCAATCCTGCACTGTGACACAACCCTGCTTGCCAACTTGATGTGCAACTTCACGGGCATGCAACTTAACTCTGGTTTGTTTGGGAAGTCTGATTGGCGGCCCGTTTTTTCTACCCGGAGCCGGATACCACATATAAAGGTTTATCTGTATATTTGTGTTTTTAACTGTCCCATGCTGCGGATGCGACGTTATCGCGCAACAGATGAGTAAATCATGCGGCAGCAATGCGATAGTATTGCCATGTACCAAATATTCGCTCAACATGTTCAAGTGACAGCACAATTCAAAAGCGTGCTAGGAGGCCGTGGCAAACATTATGCGCAACACAGCTGGAGTCGGACCCGCGAGCAGTCCAAAATTGCTTCTTGCCGTGGTTGATGACCGCCCCGATGATTTCTCCTGAGAGCGGTGGCGACAAAACTGTGCCAACCGCGACAGCACAGCCGTGATATCACTTTCCTCTTGGCTGCGTTGAAGGACCACCCAGCAAGAGGCGGATGGTGGGAGAGCAGGGGCAAAGGGAACGAACAATGCGAAGGCAACGGAAGGGAAAGGACACCACCTGACAACTTTCCCGCGCAGATAAAATCGCGCCGCCCCACTATGGATTCGTTATTCCAGGGGCGGCGCCAGAGAAGAGCGGTGGCCGCGAGCGGGATCGTCGAAAACCCTGGCGAAAAGCCCGTCGCTGGCCAATGGGCTGATCGGAATCCTTGTTGGCAGATTGGGAAAAGCACTCGGGGGGCTTCGATGATGTCAATGATGATGGCATGACATATTGGGCTGGGAGGGTGACGGGGAGACGAAAGGAAGTCAAGTTTGCCATGTCGAGCGAATCGTATGGCCCCGCTTATTCCCACCCTCCATCCATCCCACACATTCAAAATCAATTGTTGCACATCTTGGTGTTGGGACTGGAACGCGTTCCCACATCGCAAATGGAAGGCGCTCGCGCGCGTCCGCGATTCCTACTTGGCGGAGGCAGCACTGCGCGGGCTGCGCAGAAGCGGGACCGACGAAACTTTCGAGGGGCGCGGTGAAGACGAAACATGCGCAGTGCTGAAACAGCACTGCCCCATTCACTCACAAGCTGCGCTGCGCTTGGGCGATGCCGGCAACACGTTCTCGCACTGCTCCGCTGTCGCTGCCGTTTTCATGCGATTCGGCGAACGAGCCATGCGCCGAGCCCGCGAAGGAACGCCATGTCTAAGCGACATGCGCACGGATCTTGAACGAGGGCAACAACTGGGCCACTCGCACGGGCACCCAACCACTGGCGAATCAACGACCTGCGCCGAATCGAACCGGGAACGCCGCTTTGAGGCGAAATCTGCGCGGCAACGGGGCGAGAGCGACATCATCGTCCGCACGCGCGTCGACCATGCGAAAGATACGCAAGGCACCCAGACGGGAGCTCAATTCTCTAGAACAACACGTGCGGCGTCGAAACGATCGCGACAGTTCGGCCTTTCGCGCGGGAGGTGCGCCCTGTCCCATCGCCGCAACGAAGCTTGCAAGATGGACGACATCCTATCCATGCTGAAACGGAAGCAATAAGCTTTGGAGGGTGTTGTTCCACATGATGAATCGAGGGTCGCCAGCCGTAGGGCAGACTAGGGAAACATACATACTAAATAAGGAATGCGGATTGGGGGAGAGGGGAGAGAAGGGTGGGGGAAGGTGGAACGACTGTTGGGGAACGGCGGGGTGAAAGGATGGATTGTGGGGGAAAGGGGCGGGGAAAGGATGGATTGTGAGGGAAAAGGCGGAAGGACAGGAGGATTGTGGGAGAAAAGGGGAGGGGGGGAAAAGGAAGGATTTTTTGGGGAGGAGGGGGGAGGGGGAGGGGAGTTAGAGGGAGGTGATTCAACTCCGAAGGGGTAGCTGCATAAGAGCCCGCAGTCATAAGGAAAGCGGAGGGCAGAATGAAGGAGGGATGGGGGGGGGGGAATGGTAGGGGAGGGGATGACAATGATAATGCGGAGAGGAAGGAAAGGGAGGGAGGCGGACAGGACAAGGAGATGAAGCTGACCATGCGGATGAGAAGGAATAGGAGGACATGTCTTTCTTTCCTCTTCTTCTTCTTCTTCCGAAGCCTTTATAAGGAATCCCTCCGGCTGGCGCCACGTATCCAACTACCTGCGGCAAGTCCGGCCGCCGTGACAGCCAGGCATGCTCGGCGGCTCTCCTTCGAGGGGGCATGAGAGGCCGTACTCGCGAGGGCTGATCATCGTGATAAAGATGGTGATGATGATGCTGCTGAGGACGATGATGATGGTGATGATGATGATGCTATCATGCTGGTGATCATGACGCTGATGCTGATGATTATGATTCTGATGGTGATGCTGCTGATTATGATGATGAGGACGATGATTATGCTCATTGTGATGATCATGCTGACGATGATGCTGATACTGACGCTGATGCTGATGCTGATACTGCTGCTGATGATGATACTGGTGATGATGATGATCTCTGGGATATTGTGGGAGCCCTCTCGGGGGCTTGTTGGAGGCTGTTTCGAAGCCTCCTGGGGACAATGGGCAGCCTCTAGGAAACCTCTTGGGAGCCTTTTGGGGCTCCTTGGATGCCTCTCGGGGTCTCCTGGGGGCCCGGGGGCGGAAAGCTGGAATTGTCGGTTCGTGCTGCCTCTGTTGGGCCCCTCTTGGGGTTTGGGGTTCTCTTGGGCTGATTTGGGCGCCTCTTTGGCTGCTTTGGGGCTCTCTTAGGCCGTTTCTAGGGACCCTCCTGGGGTGGGACCCCTGGGGCCGTCTAGGAGCGTCGGAAGCTGGAAAAGGGGATGATGTGAAAATTATTGAACAACAACATGAAAATCATTGATTTTTGCCTCTTGGGGCGCTCGTGGGGGTCCTCTTGGAGCGCTCTCGGGGCTTCCTTGGGGCCTCTTAGGCAGTCTTGAAAGCATCTTGGGCCATCTTGGCGGCCTTGGTGGCCTCCCAGGTCCTTCTTGGAAGCCATCTTGAGATCTTGGACGCCTTGCCGAGCGCCTGGGACGTGTCTTGGCGCAGACCGAGACTCGGGAAGAGGGGCCGGTGCGCGCGACGAGGTGCGGCGGGGAGAGGGGGGGTGCCCTTAGAAGATTACAGAAACACTACCTGACAGCACTTGGCATTCTAGCACGCCTCAACGTGCCAGGGGACACGGTGGCTGATTTTTAGAAGTGATACTTAACTCGAAACAAGTGGGGACGATGCTGAGGAGGATGGGGTAGGAAGTCGGCGCATCAATGGATATGCAGGCGCAGGAGAGAGCAGAAGGAAGGCGACAAGGGGAGTGGGATGGGGGGGACGTGGGGCAAATGGGGAAAAGGAAAGAGGAGGTGGGGGAAGCGGGTAGCGGTGTCTCCAGAGGCCTCCGAAAATCCCCTTTGGGCCTCTGAGAAGGTCCTCTGGGAGTCCACGGAGGCCTTCAGAGGTCCGAGGGGGGCTTCTGGAAACTCAGGAAAATCAGAAAGCGCTCAAGATTACCTCGATGCTCGATCCTTGAGGCGAGGGAGAGAGAGGGAGCAAGCGGAGCAAGGAGGGCTGCACGAGAGATCGGGTTGGACGATGGCCTCTCGATGTGCGCCGGCAGTCCTGAGTCCGAGCCCCGGCCGCCTCCGCCGGTGCTGCTCTTGTTCATGATCGAGCCGGCAAGCTCCTTGGCGAATGGCCCTCCTTGTCGTCGCCCCCCTTCCCTCCTTCTGCTTCTTGTCCTCTTTCCCTTCCTCCTGCCTCCAACTCACTTTGGCACTGTGCGAACCCCCCCGTGCCAGTAGAGCGAGAGCTTCCCCAACCAGGTGACGACCCCAACCCCGAACGCTGAGGCCTTCCATCTACACTCGAACTTGATCCCCTCCAGCTCACTCTGTTTTCCTTCTCCTGCTCCTCCCCCTCTGGCCTCCTCCGCCCCTCTCCGCCTCCGAGAGGCTGCCGTGGCCGCTCAGACATGTGCGCGCGCGCTGCCACGAGAATTGCTCTTGGCCTTCTCAGTGTAGCAGGCCTGGTGAAAACTCCCAATTCGACCACAGTCGGACCTAGGCAGAAGAACATCTCTCAAGAACATGAGACCCTCCGTCGGCCAAAACGAACAGAACATCCAAGGGTACCCTCCCCAGGGTGCACAACCACTCCGACAGACATGAGGAACATCAGGATACCCTCCACGAATCGACATCGATCTTACATCTCGGTTCTACTGTACGACCCCTGGGGGGCCCTGTGAGGCGTCCCCGAAACCAAAAGTGGTCAAAAGACCTCCTGTCGTCATTTTCGCAGCCATGAGATCCGACCCTGTGACAAAAATCGCCATCGCGAAACATCACAACAATCAGCACCTGACACCTCGGTCCGACTGTATTTCTCGCAGCGGTGGTCGTGGCGACGGGCAAGACCGACGCGGCGTCGCCGAGGCCGCTGCCGCTCGCACGCCTCGGATGCGGCTCCCGCCTGGGAGGTGCGCGCCGAGGGCTGCCCCGATGGGCCCGTGAGCGTATCTACGGGCACCTGCAAACGCGACGGACCTGTCATAAGGAGGGCGATGACGAGAAGAACGGCTGGCAGTGCTTCTCCCTGGGGCAGTCAACTGGAGCTCGCACCGCAAGTTCTGCGGCGAAGCGAACGCTTGGCTGCAGGCTCAGCGCTGAAACCTCGTCGGGGGCATGGCAAGGGCCTCTGCGCTCAGCCAGCAGTGGACGGAGCACGGACGTGGCACAAGGGATGGAGCATGAAGCAAATCAGAGGCGTGCGACGGCTTGGTTGTTGGGACCTCCTCCCCTCCCTCCTTCCCCCCAGCAGCGACAGCGGCACGACGGAGGAGGGAGGAGATGAGCTCGCAGGGCGGGAGGAGAGACTGGACAACAGCTTTTGTCCAACACGCAGGCAGCACCAATGCAGCCTGCAAGCTGTCTTATGCTGCGATTTCGTCTCCGAAGCGGGGGGAGAAGAAACCAATGTCACGTAACTCAATTCGGAAGTGCTGCCGCCAGCTGTCCACCCCCTGGTGCTTCGACGGCACGCCGAGGTGGCGGTAGCGCGAGCGGGCGGGCCTTCTCTCGGAGGGCGCCGGGGCCTCTCGGAAGCCCCCCGGGGGCCTTCTGAGAAGCAGCTCCGGTCTTCGGCGAGGGCCTGCGAAACTTCTCGGAAGGCCGGGAGCATCCCGAGCCGTCTGAGAAGTCCCGCCCCCCTCTGCCTTCCCCTCCGAGCGCGCGGCCAGTCCCTCCTGCCACCTCCGCGGTCGCTCCTGCCAACTTCCTCGCTTGCTTCCTTTCCTCACTTGGGGCGTGTGTTGACACACCGATCAGACTCGCGACCCTCAGCAAAACTGTGGCGTCTGAAGGCTGACCCGATTCCAACAGGCAGAACATATTTACCACCCTTCGCGCGTCTACCATCTCTCACACAATGGGCCCATGTAATTCGCTCCTTCCGCGGCTGTACATAGCCTCGAATCGGTCCACCATAATCTCGGGCGACCTGCCGCTGCCGCTCTCCCAATCTCTCCACGCGGCTGAATATGTATTCAGCCTTCTGCAAATATCATTGTGGACATGCTGCCGCACTGCAAAAGCCCAAGCGTGAGCCAGAGCACCGACATTCGAGTTAACGGCACTGAACAGTTTCCCGATGGTAATTCTTGCTTCTCCATATTTGATGTTTCATGGGAGTCCCGTGGTTCAGCTGTTTTAATGTGAGCTTTTGTGCCCAAGAATCGTCGAGAACTGCCCGAAAGCTGGAAGGATGCTCGCATTATACTGTCGCTCACGCATCGGTAGCACGTGAACAAAGACATCGTGTGTATCTGCCAACTGCTGGGCCCGAACTTCTGTGTCCAAAACGGTCTGGAATCGGCGAGGCGCGCATATGCGGACGAACGATGAAACCGAAGGTTGCATTCAACTGCATTGCCGAATCGAACTGGTCAAAACAACCGACTTCTAACTGATCAATCGCGTTGATGTGTCCTCTGCACAAATCCTGGGCACGAGCAGCTCAAAACACACAAGAAGACTCGGCGACTGACTGACCTGTGCAGCACCGCCGTAATACCAGTGGGATGGCATGGCCATCGCGTCCCCGATGTAGAGGCCTTGGTAACTACCCTACATGATTTCTCAATTTAACGGGCGAAGAACGGTGTAACATTTTTTTTTTCGCTGTCAGGGGCAGGCGCCCCCCGACAGCGAAAAAGTTTATTTTGTACCGTTCTTCGCTCGCTGATCAATATGCCTGCATGCCTTCCCTTCTCGTGTGCCTCGTGAGCTGATGCGCAGCCGTGCTCATCTACGTGTCTGCCGTGCATGCCCTCGCGCGCTTGGCCGCGCGCGCTGCCGCCGGAGAATGCCGGGGCCGCGGGGGCGCCCCTCGCAAAACCGAACGTCGGCTCAGAGCAGCGTGACGAGGGCCCCGCGCTGGGCAGCACAGCATGTGGGCAAAGCGATGAGGTCCTTTCCCCTGCGAGGTGGTGCATAACTGGCCATCGCTCGGACGTCCATTCCCTGTGTTTTTTTCGGTTTCGTGCGAGGTTTTTTCGCCAAATGATCAAGGATGCTCCTCGATGGTTCTCGCCGAAGAAAAAATGCACACGTCCGAGCGATGCCAAGACAGACTACGGCCGCAATGAGTCGCCAAAGGCAACCTGTCGTCGACCTTCTCGGGGCATGGCCACTGGGATGTGGCAGTATCGTGGAGCGAGGCACAAGGACATCGAGCGATACCGAAGCAGACACATGTAAATTTCGGAGCATGCAACTTTACATTGCCGGCCGTATGCCTGTGATATTTGCTGGCCCAAGGGCCGCAATCGGGCTAGAACTGGACCGGCACGGGAACGGAAAGAGCGGTTCAGAAACGTGCCCGAGATGGCTCATGGCACCGCTCGCTTTTGGGTGCCCTGGTGTTCAGAACTTTTTTTTTACGTTACCGATCGCTCTTTTATCTGGCGTCTCTGGGCCGTCTTGGGGGCCCTTTTGGACCGTCTTGGGGCTCTCTTGGGCCGTCTTGGGGCCCTTTTGGGCCGTCATGGGGCGTCTTGGAGGCCTTTGGCCGTCTTGGGACTTTCTTGGGGGGCTCTCGGGGCCCTCTTGGGAGCCTCTTTGGGCCCTCTTGGTGCTCTCTTTGGGCCGTCTTCGGGTCCTCTTCGGCCGTTTTGGGGCCCTCTTGGGCCGTCGAGGGGCCCCCTTGCACCGTTTTCGGCCCCTTTTGGGGGCCTCTGGGGCCGTCTTGGGACGATCTTGGGGGCCTCTTGGGCCGTTCTGGGCCCGAAAAGGCGAAAACCCGAAACACATTCAAACACCTGAGGGGAAATCTATGTTTTTGGCCTCCTGAGGCCCTCTCGGGGGCCCTCGTGAAGGCCTCTGGAGCCGTCTTGAGGCTCTCTTGGACTGTCTGGAGGCCATTTGAAGCCATCCTGGAACGCTCTTGGGCTCTATTCGAACGCTCTTGGGCTGTCGTGGAGCCCTCTTGGGCTCCTCTTGGGGGTTTCTTGGGCCGTCTTGGGGGTATCCTGGGCCGTCTTGGGCGCTTCTGGGGCCGTCCTGGAGGGGGGGGGCGTGTTACCCGGAGTTCCCCACCCTACGACCTTTCCCTGGGCCTCTCCCAAGAAAGCTTCGCCCTACCAAAACGCCGTCACTCGTACCTCGCTCTTTCCGTCACCTGGACTGGCACGCTCGCCCTTGGGAACCTTTGTGCTAAGAACTTGTCTCGACACTGTGAGCTCCTGGGAGCCTTGGTGTTCAGAGTATTTTACGTCACCGTTCGCTCTTGAGAGTCTTGGTGTTAAGAACTTATCATCTCACTATGGGCACTTGGATGGCTTGGTGTTCAGATTTTTTACGTCACCGCTCGCTCATCGGAGCCTTGGTGGTCAGAACTTTTGACGGCACCGTTCGCTCTTGGGAGCCTTGGTGTCGAGGGATTGTCACGTCACTCTGGGCCCTAAAGGGGGTCCCTTTTGGACACTTTTGGAGCCGTCCTGGGACTCTTTTGGGCCCTGGAGGGCTTTGGCCGTCTTGGGGCTTTCTTGGTGGCCTCTTGGGGCTCTCCTGGGAGCCTCTCGGGGCCCACATGGGGCTCTCCTGGGAGCCTAGAGCCAACCCCCTCCACCCCTTTCTACATGGGGGGGGCCTAGCCCCCCTCCCCCTCCTTTAGACCCCTTCCCCACCTGTCGCGCTCTGGAAGCCCCCTCCCCCTCCCCCCTTTTCCGAAAAGGAAGGGGGGGGGGGGGGCTTTGCTACCCCCCCTATCGCTTTTGGACCCCCCTGCCGAAGGCCGCCCCCCTACCCCCCTTCTCCCTTGTGGCTCCTTGGCTAAAAGGGGTGGGCTTGGAAGACCCCCCCTTACGTTTTGGCTCAAGGAAGGGGCGACAAACACCAAAAGGGCGCCGACAACCAACCAACAGGGCGCCGAAAACCGAAGGGGCGCCGAAAACCACAAGGGGCTGCGAAAACCAAAAGGGCGCCGAACATGAAAGGGGCGCCGAAAACCAAAGGGGCGCCAACAACGAACGGAGCGCCGAAAACCCACAAGGCCGCCGAACACCAAAAGGGCGCCGAAAACCAAAGAGGCACCGTAAACCAAAGGGGCGCCGACAACTCAAGGAGCACTGAAAACCAAAAGGGCGCCGAAAACAAAAGGTGCGCTTATAACAAAAGTGTGCAGAAAACCAAAGGGGCGCCGAAAACCAAAAGTGCGCTGAGAACCAAAACGCGCGGAAAATCAAACGGGCACAGAAAACCCAAGGGCAGCCGAAAACCAACGGGGCGCCGAACACCAAAGGGGCACCGAAAACCGAAAGGGGTGCTGAAAACCAAACGGGCGCCGAAAACCACAAGGGCGCCGAAAACCAAAACGGAGCCGAAAACCAAAAACCAAAGGGGTGCAGAAAGCGAAAGGGGGCGCCGAACACCAAAGGGGCGCCGGCAACCAAAGGGGCGCCGAACACCGAAGGGGCGTCAAAAACCAAAGGGGCGCTGAAAACCAAGAACCAAATGTGCGCTCAAAGCTAAAAAGGCGCCGGAAAGCAGAGAGCGCTGAAAACAAAAGGGGGGCCGAAAACAAACGGGGCGCCGAAAACCAACAGGGGCGCCGAAAACAAAAGGGGCGCCGAGAACCAAAGGGGCACCGAAAACCAAAGGGGGGCGCCGAAAACAGAAGGGGCGCCGAAAACCAAAAGGCCGCCGAAAACCGAAACGGGCGCCGAAAACCAAACGGGCGCCGAAGATCAAGGCGGCGCCGAAAACCAGAAGGGCGCGGAAAACCAAAGGTGTGCCGAGAACCAAAGGGCGCGGAACACCAAAGGGGCACAGACAACCAAAGAAGCGTCGAAAACCAAGAGGGCGCCGAACACCAAATGGGGCTCTGAAAACCAAAAGGGCGCAGAACACCAAACGGGCGCTGGTGCCGAAAATTAAAAAGGCGCCGAAAACCAAAACGGCGCCAAAAACGACAAGGGGCTCCAAAAACCAAAAGGGCGCTGGAAACCGAAGGGGCGCCGCAAACCTAAATGGCGCAGAGAACCAAAGGGGCGCCGAAAACCACAGGGGCGCCGAAAACCAAAGGGGCGCCGAAAACCAAAGGGGCGCCGAAATCCAAAGGGGCGCCGAAACCCAAAAGGGTGCAGAAATCCGAAGGGCCACCGAAAACCAGATTGGCGCCGATAACCAAAACGGCGCCGAAAACTAAATAGGGGAGCGGGAAACCAAAAGAGGGCCGAAAACCGAAAGGGGCGCCGACAATAAGGCGCCGAAAACCAGAGGGGTAAAACAAAAGGGGTACCGAAAATCAAAAGGGTGCCGAACTGCCTTTGTCGAGCGGGTCGAGGAGGTGAATGGCGCGCTTCCAAGAGAGTGCAACTCCCTGACTCAAGTGCCAGACCAGCGGCACTTGTCCAGATCTGCGAAGCCGATGCATGAAACATGCCAGAAACTTGCGCGTGAACTCCTGGTCGATCTGGGAAGGCTCGTAGACAGCGCCGTAATATCGTCGAGAGACGCGGCGGTAAGGGTGAAAGGCCATCCACCACAGCTCTAACGGTGGTGACCAAGGCGGGCAAGCTCGTCGCTTGGGAGCTCGTCTCATCCATGTACGGATCTCCTGAATGCGATGATTTGCCCATGACAAGCCCTCCTCTGTCCACGGAGCGATGAAATTATGTGCTTCCTGTCCAGTAGCGTCGTCGTAGACGTAGTCGTTCGCCTCCTTGAACCAGTCGATGTTGCCGGCAGCCATGCCGCCCCGTCCTGCTGGTAAAGCCCAGCGCTCAGCAAATTCCTCTCCCGTCGGTGGGGCCACTGGTGCTCGACGATCGTCTCGCTTTCGTGGTCCGACGCCTGTGCCCGCCAGTAGCCGTGGGAACCGAGCAACCTCGGCTCGCCGTCCCTGCCTGCACGCCTCATTCAGCTCGTCAACCGTGTCCTCTCGCCAGCGTCGCCAATGCTGGCGCTGTGCAGAGCGGAGCCATTTAGTGTAGCCAGGGGCGCCGACCTGAGATGCTCACCTGCCTAGTCCTCCGGGTCGCCAAACTCGCAAAGTTACCGCCGCAGCGCCCGCTGATGATCGAGTAGGGGCTGGATAGTAGCCGCAGGCACAACGCCCAGACGCGCGTTCACGGCCAATGTGCAGTGGATGTGGGCGTCCGTAGTCTGCTCGGTAGAATACTCCGTGCAAGCGTGTAATGGTACATGATCCCGAGCCTGCCGCGTACTGATCACCTGAAGGTCGCGTCCAAGGCCTCGGAGTGGGCCAGCCGAAGTAACGTCGCCAAGCAGAGTCTTGGGCATGAGCACGAAATCGATCTGCATGGCGCTCTTGCAACCGAAGAAAGTGAGCCCATGGCCTATAAAGGTGGTGACCGCGACCAGGCCGAGCTCCTCCATCAAGGGTAAGATGCAGTCGGCCGCGTAGCGCTTCTTGTCCTGGGCCGAAGGGCCGATGACGTCGGACTGGGCGGCCCGCCAGGTGGTGTCCCCGTCCAGCTGCTGGTAGTCGAACCCAGAGTTCAAGTCGATGCAGAAGATGGGGAGCGCACGATTGGTGCACAAGTAGGGCAGGGAGCGCAGCCAGTTCGTCAAGGCGTAGCACGTGCGGCGGTCGACCTCGGTGCTGCCCTTCACAGGCGGCGGTGGATAGTAGGCCGAGCAGACCCCGATGTCGTACGAATCGCAGCGTGCGCGCAGGGCCAGCCCGCGGCCAGCCAGTGAAGCTGAGGGCGTCCAGGTGTGAGTGATCGAGCCGCGTCGAATCTTGGCCCCAAAGATGATGCTGCAGCCCGTACCCTTGTTCGTACAATGGGCCCCTGGACCACCCGCTCTCAATGCACCAGTTGTGATCCCCAGCGTGTCGCCACCGAGCCTCCGAGGCCGTCTCCCTGCCGTAGCCCTTGGCGGTGGTGCCCTTCGGGCACACGAAGTCATAGGCCCTGCAGGCCTGCGCGATGGATGTGAGTCGCTCGCTGCTGGAAGCGTGCATCGGGTTGTACTGGAGCACGCGCAGCCGCTGCACCGCCATCGCGGCGACGAGCGGGAACCAGCAACCCACACTGAGACATCTAGAAACCATCGCGGGATGGTAGAAAGCTGTGCAGGGGACGTCTCCGAACGGAGGCATGTAGTGTGTGGTGTGGGAGCTGGGCGGCTGTCGCCTCGGCAACTGCGTGCTCCTGACCCAGATGCCTTGGTGAACAGGAGCAGGAGGAGCAGGACGAGGAAGGAGGAGGACGATGGCGAACAGCAGCAGCAAGAGCTGGAGTGGAAGGAGCGGGAGGAGCAAGAGGACCAGGGGGAAATTCGAGGGGAACACGAGGGGGGGCGACAGCGGTGAACACGAACTCGGATCCAGCAAAAAAGTGGCCCGCGCTGGGGCGAGAGCGCCATTCTGAGCGACGGGGGCAGCGCGCTGATCCGACAACGAGGCCTACGCTGCAGCGGGGACACCGCTTTGAGACACTGAAGACACTTGGATGGTAAAGACCCAGACGCCCCTGGTTAGAGTTGAACAAATGTTACGCTACGCACACGGCCTTCACTCCAAGCTTCGTCTTGAGCTGTAGTCCAGGTCCACACCTACGAGCGCTCTGCGAAGAAGCTCCAGGAACGCGCCCAGGGTCCAGTCCAGATTCTTGATTTTCGTGAGCGACATCTGGAGTCCACGGCAGTTGATGATTTGTCTTCAGAGTTATGATGCGTGTGCGACAATTCAACTTTTGAGCTCCTGTGCTAGAAACAGCAATGCGCGGAGAGGGCCGACCTCCTGGACAGGGTCAGGGGAGAGAGGAGAGCATTCTTCACAACGAATGCGGCCAGGAATTTCTGCTTAGCGTGTCGCCGCGGCGGCCCCCGCAGCACGCAATGCCCTGCGAACGGACAGCGTGTCGCTCGGCCCCGTGGGGCTGGAGGCTGGGGAAAAGCTCGGGGCGCTGACGTGTGGGGACCGGGACATGGATGGCGTCTCGCGCCGAAGCGTGGTGGGCCAGAACCTGCGGAGCGATACGCTATGCCAAAGCTCCCGGCCGTAACCGCCAAGGGGTAGAGGGCAGCCAGTGGCTTCTGCTCTCCCCCGCATGCTCGGGGAAGGGGGGGGGCGCCCTCGCTCGGAGGCTGCGCGCCGTACGTGGTGCCCCTCGTCGTCGTCGTCGTCGTCGTCGTCGTCGTCGTCGTCGTCGTAGTCGTCGTCGCCCTCCTTCTGCTGCTCCTCCTCCTCCTCCTGCTCTTGCTCCTCCTCCTCCTCCTCCTCCTCTTGCTCCTCCTCCTCCTCCTCTTCCTCCTTCCTGCCCCTCCTCACCCCTGCCGCCCTGCCTCCCCGGGCGGCGGTGCCCCACAGAGCGCCCCGGATGCGGTCGAGCGCGGTGGCCACGCCCGCCTGCGCGGGCGGGGAGAGGGGCAGCGCCCTTTCGGGGGGGGGATCCTCCTCCTCCTCCTCCATTTCTCCTCCTCCTCCTCCTGCTTTTCTTCTCCTCCTCCTCCTCCTCCTCCTCCTCCTCCTCTTCCTCCTCCATTTCTCCTCCTCCTCCTCCTCCTGCTTTTCTCCTCCTCGTCCTCCTTTTCCCTTCCTCCTCCAGCCGCTCGGGCTGCGGGCAGACGGCAGACCGCTGAGGCACGCGGGTGAGCGCAGAATCGCCACGCAGAGGAGCGCCGAGATCAGGGCGAGCTCGCTGTCACAGCGAACATTGCAGTAACAGGCGGGCACCCCCAGCCGTGGGCGCAATGTTTTTTTTGTCGAGGGCCAACGCCCCCCTCCTCTCGTTCCGCGTCCTCCCGCTCCTGTGGGGCTGGACCCTCGCCTGCCTCTCCTATGCGGCGCGCCCCGCCTCCCCCTTCCCTCCCCCAACTCCGCCGCTGCCGCTGCCTGCAGCGTGTTGCTGCTGCTGGCCTGCAGTGGCTGCTACTGCCGCTGCAGATGCTTGCGATCCGTGCTGCCCGCGCGTCCATCTCGCCACGCCTGTCGCACGATTCGTACCCAACATGGGGGCCCGAACCAGGGCCCCAGTGGGTGCTTTCGCATGGCGCCGCAACGCCCATGTCGGCGCACCCCTCGTCCGTTGCGAGCCCGGTATAAAGGGGGCCCCAACTGCGGCCCCAGAGCGTGCTGATGCATGGCGTCGCCGCGCCCAACTCCTCTCTCCCCTAAAACGGTTCGTGTCCCACAGGAGCGGGTGGGTTCGCATTGCGTTACCACGCCTTATGTCGGCACACACCTCACACGGCTACGGACTACGGTACGTACAACTGGAAAAGCCTTGGCCCCTCGCTAGAATGTTTTGCTCCTTCAAGATCCTCGTCCGCGAGCTTTTCATGGACAACTCCTTCTGCCTCCCTGTTCCCCTCCTCCGACTTCTGCTCCGCAGGTTCTCGAGATTGCCAAGAGCCACCTCCCTTCCGACCCATCATCCAGATACTCTCTCCCTCTGCTACTCCCTCTCCACCTCCTCCTGCTCCTACTCTTCCTCCTCTTCTTTCCCCTCCTCCTTCTGCAATTTCTTCCCCCTCCTTTGCATGGGATTCGTGGGGGGATAGCTCAACTTATTCAGTGAGCTAATGGGCTTCTTGCCATCTCGCCAGCCGTGGTCACCCATAGAGAGTGAGAGCTTTTCCCGTACCTGCTGCAGACAAGCACATCTACCTAATGGCTCTGGCGCTTCACTCGTGCTTCTGCGGCCTGGCCCCGAGCTTGATAACGTCTCACATCGGCAACACCAAACGCAATCTGGTAACTGTAGTGCAGCGTGTTCCCTTTGGACCATGCTGAGGACGCAACACCCCCTCTCTCGGCAACCTATATCGCAACAGCTGGCATCATCTCGGGAAGCACTCCGTCAGCAGAGCAGATGGCGACGGGACGAGATGCCTCCCTTGCACCGATTTCGCAATGATTGCTGTCTGACCCCGGTGAATGAACCAGGGTAGGCACAAGAACGGACCCATCGTGACAATCACGCAGAACACTTGGATTACAGCGCAATTCACCCAATCATATTGCGAGTGCACCGAAGCCGTTTGCATTGTATGCGTGGTGATTGCCCTTTGCCATCTGCCTGTGCATAGGCACGTGATGACTACTGCTCGCAGACCCCATGGGTCGCACGCGATTGGTTATGTACACAGATGCTGCGGGGGTGGACGAGCTGGAGAAAGGGCGAGGCAGAGATGGGCAGGGGGATCTGGATCGGGGGATGTGTGGCTGGATGGGGGAGGGAGATGTGTGGAGGAGGGAGGGCCTCCCCCCCCCTCCGTCCTCCACTCCTCCTCCTCCCCTCCTCCTCTCACTGCTCCTCCTTCTACCCTCGAGTCGAAGCGAAGGGCCAGTGGGGCAGGGGCCCGTGCCAGGAGGGATGAGACAGACGAGACACACGGCAAGGGGCGCCTCACCACACCGCAAAGCAGCACCTTCAGCTGCTTCGGCCATCCCCGCCGCGACTGGCCTGGGGGCCCAGGAGCTCTCCGCGAGGCGTGCACTGTCAGGCGCCGGGTCTGCTGATGTTTGCCTCTGCTCGTGCTTCCGCTCTTTTCTTCTTACCCTTTGTCTCCTTCCACTCAAATTTTCTTCTTCTTCTTCATAAGATTCGTATCGGTCGTCTCCTTCTCAATTATTTCTCCGAATCCCCTCCCTGGCAGCAGGAATAGCTCATGACATGAAGCGCATGCTGGCCCCATCGAGAAAGCGGAGCGATAAGAGGCCGAGAGGAAAAGGGGAGTGGCCTATAATCAGGGGCCATATGAAGACGGCGCGGCGTTCGATGGATACCTCCGACGGCGGTCTCTGGAGACCCTCGGGGAGGCCCTGGGAGGCCTCCAGGGATCCCTGAAGTTTCCAGAGGCCCCTGAAGGTCCAAGTACGTCCAAATGCCTGAGTTATCTATCCCCAAACTTCCTCCTCATCCTCCTGCTCTCTCTTCCTCCCTGCTTCTTCTCCTCCTCATCCTTCTGACGCCGACGCTGCGGGCGGGTCTATCCTCAATAGAACGTTGTCCCCGCTTCCTCCTCCTCCTCCTCCTCCTCCTCCTGCTCCTCTGCGGGTACTGGGAGGGCGAGCCATGCAGTGCGCAGCACACCTGTGGTCACCGACCCAGCTTCGAAAGCCACCGCCGCGGGCCTGCACGAGACGAGCGACGACCACCGACCGACGAGGACGGCGGCGGCGCACAGCGGACGGCGGACGACGACGACAGGCGACCGGCGAAGACGACCGGCGGCGAAGGCGGCCGGCGGCGCGGCGGCGCAGGGCGCACGGCGCTCGACGTGACGAGCCCTGCCGAGGAGGCCTGCGAGTGGGCGCTGGCCGATGCCGAGGGCGTCGGCGACGGCGCGCGGTCTCGGGATCTCTCTCCCGGAGGCGCAGCCTCTCCTGGAGGCGCAGCCTGGCCAGGAGCTCGAGGCGAATCCAGCCGTCAAGGCGAGAGGCCAGCCCGCGGAAGCAGAGTAGGTGCAGGAGGGGAGGAGGAGGAGGAGGAGGAGGAGGAGGAGGAGGAGGAGGAGGAGGAGGAGGAGGAGGAGGAGGAAGAGATGAGAGAGGAGATAGGAGAGAGGAGAGAGGAGGAGGAGGAGGAGGAGGGGGAGGAGGAGGAAGAGATGAGAGAGGAGATAGGAGAGAGGAGAGAGGAGGAGGAAGGGAAGAAGGATGAGAAAGACCAATGTAAACCCAAGAGTCATCAACGATGTTGGAATAAACCCTCCCTCCAAGCTCCCTCTTCATAGGCCCCTACAACGGTTCATTTCCATTGAAGGGACTGCCTCTTTGGAAGACAACCGTTTGAAGACCCTGGAGCATGTCAAAACATTGTTGTCGGGATTCCAACGCTACGGATCAACCTGACTGTTGCGTCTTGACCCCTGAATCGTGCCAGAACGCCATTCCTGGGACATCAACTGTTGCACGCGCATAATCATGTATCCTTTCAAAGCACCATTTCTGACACGTTGATGATGGAATCTGTGGAACTCCAGCAGATTTTTGAAACGAATATGCGCCACGCTAAGGCGAGAGCCACATTTTGAAAAGGAACCGCCCTCAATCCGTGAAGCTCTGGCATTCTTTTTTAAAATGTGCACCGCGCTATTTTGAAAACGACCCACCCTCAATCCGTGAAGCTCTTGCAAATTTGTACAACGAATGTGCGCCGCGCAGAGGCGAGATCCACATTTTGAAAGCGACCCACCCTCAATCAGGCAAGCTCTTGCACATTCTTACAACGAATGTGCGTCGCGCAAAGGCGAGATCCACATTTTGAAAACCACCCACCCTCAATATGTGGAGCTCTTGCAGCACTTTAACCGAATGTGCGCCATGCTGAGGCGAGAACCACGTTTTGCAAACCAGGCGAAACGTCCGGCCCGCACTAAAAACTGGCCTCGGGGTGCGACAGGGAGAAGTTAGTTATAATGAAAAAATGGAGGAGGAGGAGGAGGAAGAGGAAGATGAAGAGGAGGAGAAAGAAGAGGAGGAGGAGAAGGAGAAGGAGGCGGAGGAGCAGGATGATGGGGAGGAAGAGGAAGAGGACGAGGAGGATGAGGAGGGGGAGGAGGAGGAGTGATGAGAAAGGAGTGAGGGGTGAATGAGTGAATGAGTAAATGAGTGAGTGAGTGAGTGAATGAGTGACGAGGAAGAGGAGGAGGAGGAAGAGGAGGAGGAGGAGAAGAGGAAAGAGGAGGAGGAGGAGGAGGAGGAGGAGGCGGAGGAGGAGGAGGAGGAGGAGGGGGATGATGAGGAAGAGGAGCAGGAGGAGGATGAGTAGCAGGATCAGGAGCAGGAGGAGGAGGAGGAGCATGGAGTAAGGTGGAGGAGCAAGGAGTAAGGAGTAAGGAGGAGGAGGAGGATGAGGAGGATGAGGAGGAGGAGGAGGAGGAGGAGGAGGAGGGAGGAGGAGGAGGAGGAAAATAAGGAAGTGGCAAAGACATCAATCCCGTAATGATAAGCGTGACATGCCCGCGGCGCCAGGAGGAAGATGATCAAACACTCGGGAGGAGGAAAGCCACTGTTTGTCAGCGACGGGCGCAGACATGAGCGCACGCCATCCGAGCACGAGGAGGGGGTCTCTGCGAGCACTCGCCCCGCCCCCTGCGGGGACGGCCCAAGGAGGACGACGAGGCCGGTGGCGGAAACGACAACGCGAGGCCACGGGAAACGAGAGGCGAGGCGGCGGAACGGCGAGACGAGACGAAAAGAGGCAGAAGGACAAGAAACGAGCGGAGCCGAGGCCTCGTGCTCCAGGCGCAGCGCCACGAGCAGAGACTCGAGGGCCAGAATGCCAGCACGCAGCACGAATTCAGTAGGAACCTCAGCGCCAAGCACCGCGACTTGCAGTGGGAACGAGGGGGGGAGGTCTGCATCCCCGTGGCCGATCGCGCCCCCGCTGCAGCAGCCCAATCCGCCTCAAGTGCCGTCTTCTCCACCACTGTGGCGTCCCACTGCGGCGTGCGAGAGTGGGGGGCTGCCACACTCCCAGCATAACGGCGGGCCAGACTCGACATTCTCGCCGTCGGGATACACCTCCATGCAAGCAGCGTTCTTTCGAGCTCCAAGGATCCTCCAGACACGCTCGATAAAATGGGCCGCCCAGGACTGTAGCGCAGCGATCAACGAACGACTCAATGGGCCAAGCGTGGTGCTGGCATAGCTCCCCGAATAGCATCATGAACTCCTCATTCTCATACTTCGCCTCAAGCCGTACAATCTCACGCATCATCCGCGCGGGGACCGCACCAGCCCCAGGCTCCGCGCCAACGACTCCGAGACATGAGAGACTGCGCGAGAGTTGTGCCTCCATCCTCTCCTGTGCCCCCCGAGACGCAAACAGTTCTCATGAGCTCCGCGAAGATCCGGCACCCGGACGAAGACCACCAAAAGGCTCCACGTGCTGAACATTCACGCCGCCGGCTTCGTCACGATCAGCAGGGCCCTGCACACACGGGGCAAGGGTGTCGAGCACCGCCTCCTCCATCTGGGCCTGGGAGGGGGAACGCTCGCCAGTGTCACAAACCACTTCAGGAGCAGGGATACACGCACTACCATCTTGGCCGACCGTTGAACCAAGGACGGACACCTCGGCCTCCCGATTGTACGGGAAACGGGGGATCTCGGGGAACTCCTCCCAGAACGCGCGGTGCCTCGGCGCTTTCGCCGAGGGCCCCAGCGTACACGGGCCGCGGCCTTCGCTCCTATGAATCCTCCCCGCCCTGTCTTTCATGCCGGGGCTCGGGACCAGAGCGCCGTCCGCCACCGCCATCGTCGCGGCCACGTCGAGAACCGCGCGGGCCTCCGCCGCCAACGTCACCACCATCGCCATCACCGTTGCCGGCGGCGTCAAAGTGCTGCTCGTGCTCAGGCCGCGGCCGCGGGGAGAGGCCAACTTCCGGTCGACCCTCCGTGGGACGATGGCCACGGTCGACGACCGTTTTGCATATATTCACGAGCTGGCCGATGTCGAGCACGCGCGGGGCCGCAGGGCGTGCGAAGGGGGGAGCCAGCTGGGCCTCGTCGACGATCAGCTTGAACTTGTGCAGTAACATAGGGGAACAAAAAGTGACATAAACATAAAAACTCGGAGGTCCGCGCTCCCCCCTGGCGGCGCCTCTGGCGCCGCCCCTGGCGCGCTACGCGCGCCAGGGAGGGGGGTCCAGCGCGGATCCGAGAAATCCGCGCGGTCCTCCGAGTTTTTGTGTTTATGCCACTTTTTGTTCCCATATGTTACCGACCTCCCCTGCATCGCCGCCCCGTCAGCAGAGACCTGCACGCATGCCCCCTGCTGCAGGAGCGGCCGCAGCCGCGGCGCGACGACCATACCAGGCAGCGCGGGTGCGCGGGTGCGACCATGGGGCGGGCCCTCGGCCGCGCGCAAGGGCTCGTGCCAGTGGGGCTGGGAGGAGGAGGAGAAGCAGGAGGAGGAGGACAAGGAGGAGGGAGAGGATGAGGGTCGGGATAAGTATGGGCAGGAGGAGGAGGAGGAGGAGGAGGAGGAGGAGGAGGAGGAGGAGGAGGGTGAGGAGTGAGGAGTGATGATGACGAGGAGTGAGGATGAGTGGGGTGGAGTGACGGGGCACGAGAGAGGAGGAATGTCCATGGTCCATGTGCCAAACTGTACACACCGCGCCTTGAATCAAAAACACGTTGTCCCCGACGGTTCAAGCTGCCGAGTCGCCCAGAACAAAAAAAGATCCGTCTTCTCCACGTCGGTTCTGGCTTCTATTCGCTGGGGGCTCAGCCGATCCGAAAGAGAAGGAACAGAACCGCGCTGTCCAACCTGACGGCCAGATCCCACCGTGAGACACAGCGCGTACGAGAAAGCTGCGTCTGAGGCGCCGAGCGGAGTCGATATGAACAATGATGTTGCCTGTGATTGATGATGATGGTGGTGATGAAGAGGATGAGAAGGAGGAAGATAACGATGACGATGATACTATACGACCGTGCCTCTGGCAGATGACCAAGTACCCTCAGGTCCTCGATGGTCTCAGAAGTACAGTGTCAGACCCCGAACGCCGCCAAACAAACCCCCTGACGGCCAGGCCCACATCCCGGGACATGGCCCGACCATGCTTCTGGGAGCCAACCCTATGGGGGGCTCCCTGGGAGCATGGCGCGAGTACCCTGCCGCCTCCGCTGGCTCCCTCGTGGCGCCCGTGGCACACTTCCCAGGCAGGGTGGCGTGATGGGTCCGAGGCGGCTGGACACTGACAGAAGCAAGCCGTGACAAAGAGGAGGGCGGTGCCGGGCCTAGCCGCCGCCGCGGCGGGCTTGGCCGCGCGCATGCCGACCGACGGCTCGCGAGAGCCCCCCGTCCCCATACAAGAGGGCAAAAAAGTGCCTGGTGCCAAACGGCTTGGATGAGGAGGTCGCCCCCGTCGTCATCGCTACCGCCACCGCCGCTGCTGCCATCATGGGCAGCCAGAACGGCCCATGGCCCGATATGCGCGGGGGGGCAGGAGGTCCCCAAACTTTTTCGTCGGCGGCGAGGCGGCGAACTCCGCTCCAGCGACAAGCTAGAAAGGGCCAATAACTAGCGAATTGGCTGGAAATCCCCAAGCGCGCTGCCTCCATAATCCCGCAAGCCCTTTGGGAGTATGTGGTTTAGCGAATCAATTTTTCCAACCTCCTTCCCCTCTCTCCCCCCTACCGCCTCTCCCTGGGTGTGGACGGGCCTGGTCGCGAGGCTTCATAACGCCCGAGATAGCCCCAAGAGGGCCCAAGTAAGCGGCCAAGAGGCTCACATATCGAAGTATCTGGGAAGGCATTGATTGTTCACTTCTGGGACTGCTCAGGCTGATCCCGATGTTCGGTTTGACGACTGCCCACCCTCATTGTCCCACTGCATGTGCCTAAACTTCCCTGATCGCCGAAACCCGCCTGGGCACCGTTTCTGGATGGGCTGATAAGGATACGCGAGGCTCCAAGAATTGCCCAGCACGGCTATTTCCGATATGGTTCAACCTCCTTTCTGCCTGGCGCGCTCCTGGGGGGCAGTCGAAACGCCGACCGTGTATCTACGTACAATCACACACACACGTGCATGCCGCATAGCTCTGGTTTTTACGCCGTCTCTATACACATTCTGTTTGTACATGTGCGAATGTCCATCTGTGTATATGTATGTATGTATGTATGTATGTATGTCTGTCTGTCTGTCTGTCTGTCTGTATGTATGTATGTATGTATGTATGTAGGTAGGTAGGTAGGTAGGTAGGTAGGTAGGTAGGTAGGTAGGTAGGTAGGTAGGTAGGTAGGTATTTATGTATGTATGTATGTATGTATGTATGTATGTATGTATGTATGTATGTATGTATGTATGTGTATATATATGTATGTGAACATGGTGGACGATAGTGCCATCCGTATAATGTTGGTGATGAGACGTGCATGTCGCCGGCCACGGTTTACGCGCGTCGGTCGGGTACGCTTCGTTCGTGGACGCTCGTGCCGCCATCGGCGGGACACAGGGGCGTGGCAAGCCTGCGAAGACCCTCCATGTTGAAGCTGGATGTGAAGCTGTCCACGGAAGCGCCGCAACAATCACCCGATGCCAAAATGTACGAGGAGGTGTATACTATCATGACACACAGACACACTTATCAAGTGGCCATACGACAACCGACAATGTAAAACGTGTGCGCGTGTGTGAGGGAGAGAGAACGAGAGAGAGAGAGAGAGAGAGAGAGAGAGAAAGAGAGAGAGGGAGGGAGAGAGAGAGAGAGAGATCAGACTCCCAAATTGCCGCCGTGGGCCACTATAGGGTCAATGCTTAGGCCCAAATCCTGAGACTTGCCACCTCAGGCAAGTTTGCCTGAAGGCGTTGAGACAGCAGCAACGCCTACAACATCGACGCATCGATTGTCGATTCGACCCCGCCATCTGCGTCCTCTTCTGAGCGCTGCCGTTGCAACTTGTCTGGCGTTTCCCCTTGCTCCCTTGTCTTTTTTGCTGCTGTCCTCGCTCTTTCCAATTTCGGCGCGATTCATGGACGGTATCTTTTTGCGCTTTCCGCTGGTTCAACTGTGCATGTCCTGTCTTGCCCTCGACCAATTCCCTTTCTCACGACCTTGCTCGCTCCGGATGGGTGACGGGCAGGGCAGGAGGAGATACCGTTTTCTTTCCAGGGCGCTGCACACTTCACAAATATGGTACGTGACTCCACCCTGAATGTCTGTCTGGCTGGATTAAGACACACCGGCTTTGCTGTGTGTTTTCTCCTACAGGAAGGTCAGGCGACAGTCACGCAGTTGCAACTGGGAGGCTTCCAGCGCAGCCTGTGCTGCGCTCACTTGACGCGTGCAGATGTGCCTTGCCTGCGTAGACCGTGTTGGCCTTCAAATGGTAGATCGGCCTCAAAACGAACGGAGCCAACATGATTGTGGCGGCGTCCAGCCGATGAGTTCTGCTCCGTCTTCTGGGAGCAGCCCTGAATTCACCCAGAATGTAAAGAACATGCCATATGTACTCCAAATATGTGTTGTCCTTCCTGCAATCCTCGCTCGTACTGGACCTTTGCGTCGGTCATTCCCTGCCACTCGGCTCAATCAGCGTGCTTTTTGCAGGCTGATGACCAGGGCAATGCGTGCATGATGCCATGCTTGACCGATACCTTGTCAAGGAAAAACCTGCTTGTCGGAGCCGCTACTATCACGCAGAGCTGGGCACTCCTGCTCAATCAAGGTGACTAAGCTTTTGGGTGCGTACTG